AGGAAAATGGGAATAAAAAAAAGAAAAACCTTAGACTAAGGCGAAAGCAATCGTCCATAGTTCAAGCTCAAAGTCAAAAAGAAAAACACTCCAACAACGATATATATATATATATATATATATATATATATATATATATATATATATATATATATATATATATATATATATATATATATATCGTTGTTGGAGTGTTTATATATGATTTCTTTATATAATCAATCTTAGTTTATGGTTAAGTTTAGCGTTGCAAGTTTTGACAAAAAAAAATTAAACGATTTTTGCACATAATTATGCAACTAAAGAATATACACTAATAGCAAACAATAAAAAATCTGCAAATATTTTTCTTGCTCTTGGTCTTCAGTTAGCTGGTTTATATCAAAACAATGGTAATTCGTCTGACGAACTTATTTGAATGTTACTGACCTTTCCTCAAAGTATAGAAAATACCAACATATTCGTTGTTTGCGCAGATATTTATATCTGATATAAAAATGTGACCCAGTTGTTCTCGATTAGCCTTCTGTTTTCTTTTCTTTCTTTCTGTTTTGTTTTTTCTATACGGTTTTTTTTTAAATCTCTCCTTTGAATATATTTTTCGGACAGCATTTGTTGAAATACATTATTAGTACTCAAAATCCTATATCGCCCAGAGAAATTTCTAGACGCCCGCCCTTTTCTGTTCAGTTGCTCATCACCCACTCAGCAGTTGAAATTGGTGGGCGATTTCGCCCCGGTTATGAAACCCTTCTCTGAAGAGTTAAATTCCAAATACAGAACGACACAAAGAAAATAACGTGAGGGGGGGGGGAGGGAGAGGGGGAAATGGGGAGACAGTAAGAAAGAGAGAGTGAGAAAGAGAGAAGCGAGCCCACAAAGAAACGGGAACAAAAGAGAAAAGCACAAAACTATTCAAAACAAAGAGTAAATGAAAGAAAGAATCCGAAACAACGTTCGCACGAGATTTCGCGTTGTTTTTGCTGAAAGCTTTTCCGGTATAATTTTGAGAATTACACAAAGTATGAGGGGTATTGTTAGAAAACTTGTTTCCTTTCCTAAGGTAATATTTGAAGAATGCGCTTTTTTGAAAAAAAAAAAAAAAAAAAAAAAAAAGAAAAAAAAAACAAACAAACAAAAAATAGCAGAATGTTAACAATGAGAATCTTTCGTGATGACAGCAAAAGACCAGTAGAGAAAAGTCTGGAGAATGGAGTTGTTTTAAACATATGCAATGTAAAAAGGATGATTCCATTACCAAAAGATGAAAAATTATTTCGAGCTGAGCCTCAAATATCTGCTTTCATCTCAGATGTACTCTTTATTTCTTTTGTTCAAAAGTTTAAACAAGAAATAAAAACACCATAATATTATGAGCCACTGCGCATCGTTCATGGCTTGCTAACACTGTTCATGATGAAGTGAGATTCATAATAACTTAAAAACTTACATGCGCGTCAGTTTCAATCCAACTTGTGGTATTAAATTTTGTTTAGTCTTAAACAATATCACAAGATGTCTACATGACATTCTAAGCAGTTTGCCGGGTAAGAACCACACTCAGGTTTAGGCAATTCAATGAAGCTTAAAACTCTTTGGAAAAGACATAATTTTCTACCCTTTTACAAATGTTGCCATATTACCGTGTGAGTTGTAGGTCAGGTTGTTCCATGACGAATAGAAAATACTGTGAATTGCGGCGTATAAGTTAACCTGGTCTTAAATAGACCTCGGGATTTTTAGCTTAAAAATTCGTTTTAGGACTATACATAATGCATAGGTAAAACCCCAAGGTCTATATATCCAAGAACCTAGCATTATGTCACATTAAAATATCATTAAACTATCATTACTATCATGAGATTTCACGGATGAATCGCCTAGTTATCTAAATGGCTTACTTAAGATAAAATGCGTTTTGTTCAATGTTTACACTTAGTGTATCAGCTGTTGGACACGATGCATTCAGTTGCACGAAAAGAATACAGAATTTGTATTAATATTTTATTATTTTATATTAATTTCTGTGTTAATATGCCAAATATGTTCACAAAACACAAGTTTTAATGGAAGATATTCGTGGCAGCCTACAGCCTAAGTAGCGTACAGGTCAATTGCTAGTTGTGCTGTCTGTTATATAGGAATAATTATGTGTATTTATTTTAGTGTTAATCCTTTCAAATCCACGAACTAATTTCTTGGTAGCTGATTAAGAATAATTGAAATAAATTCTTTCAAATAATTTTTATACTTTCAGTCTCAACCTCAGAGGTTGCATATTTATGTTTGAGCTATGCGTTAACACAGTAATTACATTTTTTTAAACTTCTATTTAAGGGAGGTAACTTGGGGACATTTAAATTAAAATGCGTAAACATAATACGTCTAAGTTATTTAAACAAACATGTTTGAATAAAAATAAACTGCGTACCTATATATATATATATATATATATATATATATATGCAGCATATTTTTATTCAAGCATATATATATATATATATATATATATATATATATATATATATTTTTTATATATATATATATATATATATATATATTATATATATATTTTTATTCAAGCATGTTATATATATATATATATATATATATATATATATATATATATATAGTTTTATATTTAGGCAGCAATCCTTCCTTTATGCATGTTTCATTAAAAACGACAGACAAGGTACTACGGTTAAGCTTTCTTTATTTAATTTTTCTTGTGTTTGAAGAAGAGCTTTCTTTTCTGGACAAAGAGTGTGTAAGAACTGTCCAAATGTTTTATATTTCCGAGCGATTTCGGCTATACATTTAGCCATTATCAAGGACGATTCAATTTTTCACCTGATTGAGTGTGTGCGTTCTGTGTATGTCTTAATATGTGGTAGGGATGTTTTTAATTTCCGAATACGGTTAGGACATTGTGGCTTTGTTCGTGGTTAATATTGCTAACAGTTGGCTTTTTCTTTTTTATTATTAAAGCTTCCATTTATTTTTAGTCTTTCTCTGCAGTGGATGCAGTTAATATATTTGTGTTTTCTATTAGTATGTTCCTAATGGAGTCGGGTAAATTTGTGTGCGTGTTTAAATGGGTTCTAATGGAGCTGTGATCAGATAGGTGTAACGTAAGACGTCTGGATAAGCATGTGGTTGTGTAACCGATGTAATTATTTAGGAGTCCGGTTTGACCAGGAACACGCACCCTTCGAACACAAGAAAAAATAAATAAAAAGCTTAACCGTAGTACCTTTTCTGTCGTTTTAATGAAACATGCATATATATATATATATATATATATATATATATATATATATATATATATATATATATATATATGTCTCAAAAGTAACGGTCTGACAAATTATTCCAATTACAAACTAGATATTTTCTCCTTCAATTACATTCCCCACACAAGTGTAATTCAATTTCCCATCCTTCTACGTCACGCATCTCTGGAAGAATTCTTCTTGGATGCCCTTGAGCTCCATCTTTACCTCCCGCTTTATGGCTCACACGCCTTCAAATATTTTCCTCTTGGTGATCCCCTCGATGTTGAGGAAAGGAAGAAAGTCTCACAGAGAGGTTTTTCCAGTACGGCGAGATTCTAGGATACCAGTAATTAAATGATGTGATATTGCTTAAATATTACATATTGCAGGAACATTTCTTTTTCTCATTTTGCGCAATTGTCTTCGTCTTTGTTTTCGACCGTTTGGCAATTCGAACTTATTTAGGAGCTTGTCGATACTGGCAACCTTCATGGAATATGATGAACTTAACACTTTATTTAATCTACAGGGGTAGAATGTTCTCATTATGTATTAAGCGATGCCTTGTCTTATCTAGTAGTGCTTATTTATTGCTCGCGCCGTTTCCACTAAGACCCAGTCTGGGCTATCCAACCCGGCAATTGTACTCACAAATTCTATATAATAAAAGTCACTAAGCAACTCATTAATATACTAATGCAGACTTCTAACCACCTTCCCCTCCACACTTCATTCAGCCTTATGATTCTGAATTTGTCCATCTGATTTGATTAGTTCTCAAGCCTTGATTTGGGAGTAATTTTATATATAAACTAGCAGCATGGCCGTGCTTGATTCAAAAATCGTACGGCAATTGCGATCGCTTGACATTTTTTTTTGCCCTTCCTTGCCTTTAAAGGAGTGCCCTTTGCCCTGCTAATGTTGCTACATGCCTTACTTCTTGCCTATCTTGCACTGCGATTTTTTTCTAACCTGTATACTAAACATTAAATTTGTTACGAAAAAAGAACTAAACAAAATGAAGACAAAACGATCAGCTTTAAAAAAGGACTCGTAACTTTTTCGCACCCAACACAGTTCTGCGGAATCAGAATCAACGTTGAGTTTAAACAAGCGAATGAGCCAATTGGAGTAAAGTGCCATGCAGATTTAATTTTTTCCCACTTGTGACGAATGCAGCTATCGATTTTTTTTGCTAGTTAAAATGCGTGTCAGTCAGCTGTTAGCTCTCACCCTGGCCAATAGAATATTCCTGCTTATTCGCGGCAGCCAACTATAGGCTCTCACTCTGGCCAGTAGAAAATGGCCGCAAACTACATGAAAACTGCCGTAAAAAAATTTTATTCGAATGAAAAATTGATTATTTCCACTATCGATGTAAGTTGGGAAATGCAAAGTCAGTCTTGGCCTTCCCACTAACTTGGAGCATGTGCATGTAAATTTTGGTGCAAATCCGTCGAAAATTGCGGCCGTGCATTCGTTACACACACACACACACACACACACACACACACACACACACACACACACACACACACACACACACACATCCTGCCTTTTATAGATAGAGATAGATCACTGATAATCGAATATATATGGGATATGATGACACCTGTCTTGTTCATTTAGCCCGCCAATACCTCTATAATTTCAAAATTTACAAAAAAATGTATCAATGGATCGTATTCGCTGTCAATATGATTTAATGCAAATGAAAGTAAAAGCTTATTTAATATCTGAGTATATATTGATAATTTGAATAGATAGATAGATAGATAGATAGATGGAAAGGGAGATAATTTGAATAGATAGATAGATAGATAGATAGATAGATAGATAGATAGAGATAGATAGATAGATAGATATCAACAATTTGTCTAAACATGTCTGAGAAATTCAACTAACAAGGTCAGAATATTTCATTTGTTTATTGTACTGTTCCAATTTTCGAAGAAGTTGTTGCACATCTGCAGCAAAATTATGGATAGTCCTTCTAAAGTTATGTCTTTATCTATTTTCGTTCGCGTCATTTCAACAGTTGGTATCAAGAGTGAAATATTTTAGTCTTGTAGCCAACCTTTCTATTAGAGATATTCAAGCATTTGGAGGAACGCTACATTTCAAATTTAACTCTATCTGTATCTTATAAGTGACGGTAGAACTCCGCAATCTTAAGAGTACGAAAGATTGAATGCATTAAATAATTAACGCCGAAGAAGAATAAACAAGTTTTCTGAATTTGGTTTATGGCCTTCTTATTTTGGAACAAGCCTGTTGATAGTTACATGAGAACATATAATCCAGCTATGTTAACGCACGTTTAAAATTAAAGTTAAATGAAATATACGGTATGCTGCAATTCTGTTTTCTATCAACTGTTTTTGCGAATAAAAAGTTGAAATATATATATATGTTTCACATTCTTTATTTCTTCCTTAATCTCTACGAAAATAACATATTCCTTCCAATTATTATATATATATATATATATATATATATATATATATATATATATATATATATATATAATTATTTTTTATATTATTTTATATATATATATTATTTTTTTATATCTGCTCTACATTATATTGAGCACTCGTTTAAAATTAGTAATTGTTGGTTATTGGAACTCATTCCGTATACACCAATTATATACTTGGGTATATATATATATATATATATATATATATATATATATATATATATGTCTTAGGCGGATTTATGAAGCAGGCATAATATCTATCTCACGCACGGTGAACACTAGACCTGGCTTCTTTAATATTTCTCCTTTTCTAGCAAGATTAATTCTCGACAAACGTACATATAAGTTTTAGATCAAAATAAAATTCTTTTCGTTTTTCATTCAAAATACTCAAATTTTAGGAATACGTTTTCACAACATCGCCCACGTGACGACGACGTGATCATATTTAAACGGAACGCTGATCTTATATAAAAATTCAGTTATCTGTTTGGATTGGTATTGCTTTTATGTCCATCGTCTTTTTCATGTTGAATTGTATATGGTCTATGTTAATTAGGTTTTATGAATATGTCCTGAAGATGGTCTATTAGACCGAAACGTCCGACGTTGACATTAAACATTAAAACAGCATAATCGCATATTGGGATTTTTGTTTTTTTTTTCAGTATATTTTTCTTCATATATATATATATATATATATATTTATATGTGTGTGTGTGTGTGTGTGTGTGTGTGTGTGTGTGTGTGTGGTGTAGTCTATAATTCATTTTATTTTATTCCAACAGCAGCAAATTTGTTTTTCTTTCTCGCCCACTTTTCGAATCGCTCCAACATTTGTCATTATTAATTATATCAATTATCTTTCGCGAGGCTACTGTGTGATACGTGGTTTCAGCACAAGGAGTCGACGAAGAAGATGGGTCAGACACATTAATTTTAATTTTTCTTCGTTCATTGGAGCTGATACATACATATATATATATATATATATATAGAGAGAGAGAGAGAGAGAGAGTTTACATTCTGGATATGGAAATATAAATAAATAGAACGGAACCTTAAACGACATCGCGTGTGTATTCTAAAATAAAAAAACATCGTCTGTAATACGTCAGTTTTTTTTGTTTTTTTTTCAGGAAGTCATCTCGACATTGATTAGTGAGTACAATTGATCTTCATTGTTGCCCCGCAGGCCACCTTTGCAGGCATTTCTCTTTCTCCTGAGAGAATTCAAAGATATGTTGTTTTGTTTTGTTTTAATTTTTTTTATATTTATATAAACGTTACAAGTTTGAGTCATGTCGTAGACGTCGATACAAATTAAACCGAAGAGAAACGGTCAATGACAAAAAGCCAGTAGGAAATAAGATATTTCAAATTCTGAAAACTTGTTTTGTAAGCTATAATTCATAATAATCGTCGTCACCAGCATTAATCCCCGGATTGAAATGTGTGGACGTCGTCTCTCTTCGCAGCGCACTCGTTACCTCTACATGCCCCGGTTTTGCGAAAATGCTTGTGTCTCCGTGAAATACCATCCAGCGTACTCAGTAATGTTTGTTATCCCATCATTTTTTTTTGTCCGCATCTTCTGATGCTTAAGATGGTGCTTTGTAGGATGGCATTGGAAACATGGTTGGCTCCTATGACATGGCTGTACTATTTTAACTATCATTGAAAAAACTTGCTGAAAATACAATGCGCACAGCATGTGAGCAACAAAGAAAAATTGAGTTGTTTTCAAACTTCTTTAGAATGACTTCAAAAACATCTCCCTCCCCAAATTTATAGAGAGATCAGATAGATACACGCTGTTCTTTCTTCCGGTGTCATCCGCCATATTTCTGTTCTTTCTTGAAGTCAGAACTCTGCTATCATTTTTCTGTATTTTTTTTGCGTTAACAGAATTTTTACTTTGTGAAATATTTGCTTTATGACTGTCACTTTTCCCACATTTGTCTTTCACACACACACACACACACACACACACACACACACACACACACACACACACACACACACATATATATATATATATATATATATATATATATATATATATATATGTAGAGGGAGAGATAATATTAGTGGCAAATATATCCTGTTTCTTGTTTGATAATGTCTCTACCTGCATCACATACGATGTTGTCCACGTAGTATATAACTTGGAAGGTTCTCTTGCATCCCATTTCTAGTTCACTGGGTTTAAGGCGACATACATCGTACAATGGGCTATGATAAGCCTCCCTTGATGGCAGCATTTTTGGCTTGTGTAATAATGTCTCTTCTTTTTTTTCAGACAATGCAGTGTTAGTATGAAGCTACTCTTATCTATGAAATACAGTTGACTTCGCGGAAGTAAGAAAATTGGTGAATTTCAATGAGGGCAAATATTAGAACGGCATCAGTGTGGCAAGTCAATTGCTAGGTTTTTCCAGGTTAATCCTCAAACGGTTAATAATATTGCCAAGAAATTTAATGAAGAAGGTCATTGTCGTGTGGAACAATGTTCAAGAAGGTTAATCATCGTGTCTGATAGAACGAAAAAGGCGCTGAAGAGGGAAGTCATCGGGAACCGTTGTGAGAGCGTCAAAGATGCCACCAACAGCATGGAAATGTCGCCAGATGTGGTGAGAAAGACTCTGAAAGAGCTAGGCTATCAAAGAAGAGTTGCGAAAAAGACGCCTTTGATTCCAAAGGTTAACAGGACAGGCGTATGGACTAGGCGAGAGAATTCAAGAGCAAAAGTTATGAATTTTGGCAGTTTGTAATTTGGTCAGATGAAAGTAAATTCTTCTAATATTCCAATTGAAGACAGCTTTATGCTTGGAAAAAACAGAATAAGTCTTAGAACACTTCATATTTGCAGCCGACCGTGAAACATGGAGGCATCGGAGTAATGGTGTGGGACGCCGTCTGGTTTGAAGGGAAATCTGAGCTGATTCTTGTTGACGAGCAGTAGAATGGTCGAAAATACTGAAAATATTAGACGACTCCCACTGTTTGAAACCAATCAGCTTGACAAGAATGTCTATCTTTTTGCCAGAAGATGAAGCACCATGTCGTACGAGAAAGGTAGCAAAGTCCTGGAAGGAATGGCAAGGAATCAAGTCACTGTGATGGGTAGCCCAAAATCCTGAAATGAATCCAATATGGCACATTTGGGAACTCTTTGACTTAAATGTTCAAGAGCGTGCAGCCAAAATCACTTCAGTGGCAACTCTTAAAATAGCATTGCTAAAGGAGTGGCAAAATTGTGTTCAGACGATTGTTGATAACTTAATTAAATCGATGAAAAATCGAATACAATCACTGAAACTAGCAAATGGAAGAATACTCCATACTAGTTCCAAATACTGCTTATTTATGTTCAGTTGGGATTAAGTAATTAAATTTTGAAATTGGATTTAGTTTATTTCTCCTGGCTAAAACTTAGGCCACTGTACCATCAGCGAAGTTAAGCAACGTTTAGCCAGGTCAGTACCTAAATGGGTGACTACTTGCGAATATCAGGTGCTGTAAGCTTGAGTCTACGGCTGGTGTAATAGACTATCTCTCGAAATTGTTAATCGTAGTGGAGAGTTCAAATCCCCGTTCGTTCGTAATATTCAGTTCCATGAAAACACCCAAGTGTGTCACCAGGCTTCAAGAATCAGTCAGCCAGTGTCTATCCAGATGTTTGCAAAGGAGGAGGCGAGAACCTGGAATCTCTGTATATTCTGTTTGGACCATTCTGATTAAAGATATCAAATTGTATCCCTATCTAGTTCAGGCCGATATGGAAAAAAAGTGTAGCCATGTGCAAGTGGTTCTTGCAAAAGATCGACGATGTCGGGGAATTCTTGAATGATACTTAGCTTTTGGCCGAAGCCCATTTCCTCTTGAATCGTCATGTTAACTCCAAGAACTGAATGTTTGAGGAAGCGAGAACGCTCACAGTCGTTGGACGCCCTCTGTATTAAAAAAAAAGTGCACGGTATGGGTCTCCATCACGAAGCATGGAACCATTGGACCACGATAGGGGTAACGCAGTGACAATGACAAAAGACCCTTACTTTCTAGTGATGAGAATTTCTGGGGAGAGCTCGAAGAGATTGGGGACCTTGATGAGGAGGAACCATGTTCCAGCAAGATTTTTCTTCCCGTCACAATAACTAAATATATCATGGCATGACTCCATAAAAGGTATAGGGAGAGTCTCGTCAGCTGCAAAGCTGAAGTGGAATTGGCACCTCACTCGCCTGAATTGACTCCCACCTAAGATTTCTTCTGCTGGAGGTTCCTTAAGGACAACATCTACCAGGGTAACCATCGCTCCATTGCTGCATTGAAAACAGCCATCACTGAGAAAATTCAAGCGATCTCCCAGGAGGAATGTTCCCACGTGATCAACAACTTTGCG